GGTGCGTTTCTGCAAAAGAGGGGAGAGGAGGAGAGAAATGCCAGGCTGAACCCACTCAGGGCACACGAGAAGGCTTGAGTTATACCTGTGCTCCTTAGTCTACAAAAAAAAAGGGGGTGAAAGATCTAGTTTACCTGTTCACCACTTTAATTTTCCAGTCCAGGGTGCTACAGCGGCCCCTGTTGAGTAGACGGCCTTCAAACAGAAAACAAAAAATTAAATTCCAAATTTACATGTCATGCCTAGCAGCTGTTAAATGGCAGAAGGGGGAACTGCCACCTGAAGGTGGTGACCGATGCCCCACCGAGTCATCGGTAGCCACGTGGCTGCAATTTTGAGTTCGCTGCCTTAGGAGCTTGTGTTTGGTGATACCATTTCAAGCCTGGTTTTCATCAACTTGACCCAGATAAAGAATTCTAAACCTCACCCCAGACCTGCTCAGCCCAAAGAGCAGTCCTTTGTCTCACGCAGGGCTTTTCAAGCTCGTCCCTTAGTGAAATGCATGCCTTTCCAGCCGGATTCATCTCCCAGTTAAACAGCTTTTTCTCTGTCTCTCCTCCCTGCACAGATCAAGGATGGACGCTGGCATCGGACTCTCTTTTCGTTTCGGACACAGGACCCCCAGCAGCTGCCAATTGTCAACATCTACAACCTTCCCCCATCCGAGCCAGGAAAGCGATACCACCTCGAGGTCGGCCCCGTGTGCTTCCTTTGAACAAAGCCACCGAAACTGGGCTCCAAGGCTTTGACCCCATGTTTGGCCTCTGTCTTCACACAGGCTCTCCCACCTCTCTGCAGCAAGGACAGCTGGGCTGTATCTTTTGGGTCAACTCCTTCTCTAGCCTTTGGCTCAAGGTCTCAAAGAACCCGTGATCTACTGAACTCAGCAGGTTGTTGGAAGGAGGAATAACAAGGATGTAGGGGAAGCAGGTATCAGTCGGAACGTGAACAGTGAAAAGGGATCAGGGGACTAGATGTTGCAAGCAGTTCCACACACAAAGCTTTTTCCATGACCAAAGAAAATATTGAGAGAAACCTCAAGCAACTTGCAGCGTGTGGTTTTTTGGTTTTCCCCCCTCCCCATTTTGTTTTACCTGGTTCCTGAGTTACCAAATGTTCTTTCCATTGAAAAGTAATTAAAAGATAGAGCTTCCCTCTCAGAGCTTGTCGCCTTCTGGATGGCCACGTGCTGCATCAGGTCTCCCAGGCGGAGCTGCAAGTTGAATCTGGCTGCTCTGTGTACCGGAAGCATTTTGATGTGCAATATTAGAAGAAACAAAATATATATATTATATTATTTAAAGCAAAAAGAAAAAGAAAAAAAAAAAAAGAAAAAAAAAAAACTAAGTTCCTCCTTCCATGGGTGAATTTAATCAACATCCCTTCTCATGTATGGTGTTGGGGTAGGGGAGAGTCCCAAAGCCAGGAGGGGGGAATGGAAGGAGAAGAGGGGAAGAGATTGGTGCTAAAATAGAGAGAGGATGGGCTCGTCTGATTTGTTTCTACCTCTCACTGTGAAATCTCTGGTGCTCTTAAAAAAGTGTGTTATTTTATATATATGACTTTAAACTATTTAAGGTTGTGAAGGTGCTACAATGTCTTGCCACAGATCCAAAAAAAAAAGCCCATAGGACCATCTCTCTAGGAAGAGAGGAGGTTACGATCTTCAGCTAAATCAGAGAAACAGCCACCTTTAAAGGGATCCTTTAATCGCCACGGATGTCAATCCTGCGCAACAACTCAAACCATGTCCAAAATAACTTACAGGATATTTCAAAAGCAAATTTGCTTTTTGTTGTTGTTGTTGTTAACCAGCACTTCACTGCTTTGGGAGGGGAGTGAGGGATACAGCTCATCTGGAAGCGTTGAGCCTCAGAGAGAGCTATTTTTGAGTCGGTTGTCATGTAACTAGTTTTGCTGTAGTCGCGTTGGCCACACGTCCGTGCCGGCTTGCGCTGCAGCGATTCCCTGGTCTAAGCTCGTATTTAAACCCAGCTCTGCAACCCTTCTGTCTGGCCCCTCTGTCAAGACTGACATGATGGTACCTTGTTTCAGAACCCAGCCGGGCTTGGAGGGGTTTTGTTTTGTTAAGTTTTGTAGAAATTTAGTCTCTATATGTAAATTTGGAGGATTTTTTTTTTTTTTTTAAAGAGGATAATTATGGTAATCTTTAATTCTATATAAGGAATAATAATGATGTAATCGGAGCTGTACTGTATCAGAAATGCTTCAGTGCCTGTTTGGAGTTTTCATGTCTCATATGGACTATGGATTTTATTTTTTTGAGGAAAAAAAAAAAAATTATATGTGAGTCTCTTTGTGTATTCTTTTTTTTACTACTGCCTGCTGGTTGGTTTCCAACAACCATCAGAAAAGGTTAACAAGATCTGTCCCAAATACCTCACCCTCCACGCAGCCCTGCCTCTGCTCAGAAATACCTCACCCCCGCGCGGGGCCGGCTCGCCCCGGCACCCCCAGGCCAAAATCACCATCGCTCATCGCCCGCTTGCTGCCTTCCCCTGCACACACACTCCCACACTTCCAGGTTTCTTGCTCTCTTGTCCTCTCACCATCGGTTTTGTGTGTTTTCTTGAGGCTGGAGTTACCATTTGTTCTTATTAAAGCTTTTTTCCTTCTCTTTTTTTTTTTTTTTTTTTTTTTTTTGACTTTAAATAAATATTTAAAACTGAGGCAATGAAATGGGACTGGTATGGTTTTTTCATGGGAAACTAAGCAGGCAAGAGGTGCTCAAGGATGAGGATGCTGGTGTGACAGCCCAGAGACCCCCCCCAAGCGACCCAGGCAGCCCAACCCACACCCCAAAATCGTCCTTCTGGTGCTGGTCACAGCACAACCTGCCCACCCCCTCAGCATGACCCTAAATGCACAACAAGGCTGGGATCCCAATGTGTCCCCACTGCTGCGCATCACCCCACCGCCCCACACATCATCCATGTCATCCTGACACAGCGCTGGGAAGTAAGAGAAAAAGAAAAATGAAAAATAAATTTAAAAAAAAAAAAAAAAAAAAGCTGAGCTGATCACTTCCATTGCGGAAGCCCAAATCACAGCTCGGTTGCTCCAAGCTGACTTTGAAAGCCAACTTCTCCCTAGGAGGTCGCTTGGCCCAAGCCCAGGCACGTTGCACATTGGAGACAACAGCGAAGCCCCCGTGGGCTCGAGCCAGGGGAGGGGGACACGGGGGTGACCCCCCCCCACACACACACACACACACCCCGTCCCACCACGCCACGGGAGCTGCCTGGGCTGGTCCCAGGTTGCGTCAGGGGCAGCGGGAAGGGGCCGGGCTGTGTTTGCTCGCCCTGGGCTGCACCCATTCCCGGCAGCGGCTGGAGGGGCGAGGGACACCCCCGGGCACGGCCGGGTGCCGGGTGGCAGCGCCAGGTCAGCTTTGGCAGAGCAGTAGGAACCGGCTGGGCTGGGGCTGACCGCATCTCATGGGAGCCAACCGTTCCTGAAACACATCGCTTGTGGCCGGGGAAAAAGCAAACACATTTAATAAATAAATCAGTGCACTCCATTATGAGGCCAAAGTTGGAGGAGATATAAGACTTTTTTAAACAGAGAGAATCTGCATTTAAATAAATTGTAATTTCTTTATTTTGTTAAACGCCTCAGCCCACTGCACTGATTGTTCCCCTGCCTCGTAACCCCCCTGCCCAGCCAGGATTTATTAAACAAGTCTCTGTCTCTAGCAGTTATTTTAGATTACTGAAAACAATCAGCTATGCATGCTATCAATATCCACAGCCCAAAGGCCACTTTGTCACTGCAAGGCTACCGACATGCAACAGGGAGCTCAGCTGGAAAGGGCAAAACCCCACATTTCATGGCTTCAGGGATCCCAGCGAGCCGCTGCAGGGCCGGCTCAGGCACTGGAACAGGACAGTGGCACCACTGGGGAGGGGAAGGAGATGGTGGGTGGTGGTTTGTTTTGTTTTTAAATGGTGCAGCTGACCATGGAACCATAGAATGGGTTGGGTTGGAAGGGACCTTAAAGATCATCCAGTGCCACCCCTGCCCCAGGCAGGGCCCCCTTCCCCCAGCCCAGGGGGCTCCCAGCCCCGTCCAACCTGGCCTTGAACCCTTCCAGGGAGGGGGCAGCCACAGCTGCTCTGGGCACCCTGGGCCAGCGCCTCACCCCCCGCACAGGGAAGGATTTCTGCCTTAGATCTCAACTACATCTCCCCTCTGTCAGTTTAAAACTTTTACTCCTCGTCCTGCCCCCCCACCCCCTGATCCAGAGTCCCTCCCCACCTCTCCTGTCCCCCCCTTAAGCCCTGGAAGGCTGCCATAAGGTCTCCTCGGAGCCTTCTCTTCTCCAGGCTGAACCCCCCCAACTCTCTCAGCCTGGCCTCCCAGGGGAGCTGCTCCAGCCCCTCCAGCATCTCCGTGGCCTCCTCTCCTCATGTCATTCCTGTGCTGAGGGCTCTGAGCTTGTATGGGGCCTAATCCTGCCGTGCACACCGACCTGCAGCACCAGATCGTGGTCCCCATCCCACTCCCCCCCACCCAGAGCACACACAGACCCCAGCACCCGCCCTGGCGAGGAGCGAGGCCAGTGCAGCCCTGCAGTCAGCAGCCACCACCCAACCATCGCCGCAGGACTGATGTGCCTGCGGAGTAAAGCCACGTCCAGGTGCCATTCGGTGACCTCGAGGCCTCCAAACACACCTGGAGCCGGCCGAGCGCTTTGCCAGGCGCCCATAAAATTAATTGTGGTTTCTGAGAACAAAAGCCTGTATTGGTGAAACATGGGGTTGTTTGTCTTGGTTTGCCTTTTTTTTTTTTTTTCCCCCATCCTTCCTGCTGGAGAAATCCAAACTTTTGCAAGTTTAATTTCCTCCACCTGCTATTGCTTCATGCCTGAGCAAACAGCCCAGTGGCTGAACAAGCACGTCAGGGCTGGAGACGTCCAGCTTTGCCAGTAGCCGTATATAAGGGACGGAGCTGAGCCACTTCCCATCAGATCATGAGCCTCCTCTCAACGATGCTGTCCTCCCTCATCTTCCTCCTGGGGCTGCCTCTCGCCCTCGTTGCCGAGCCCCCCACCTGCACCCCGCTCATCCCGGTCACCTTTGACAATGCCACCATCCCTAGGGTAAGACCTGCCCTCAGCTGGGGCTCCTGTCTTCGTTTTTCTTATCATCATCACCAGCCTTACAGGTCCAGAAAGAGGTTATGAACCCAACCAGCAGCTCAACGCTCGTCTCGCTGCCTGTCTATGCTTATTTTCCTAAAGAAATCAAGACTGCTGCACAGGAGTATGGGGAAGGGGGTGAAGCCTTGCAGCTCTGCACCCATAATCTCATGAGCAGGTGCTTTTGGGGGGCTCCTACTTCCATCTCCCTGTGCAAACCAGGGCAGCACCATCCACAGTACTTTCCCACTATTGTAAGTCCTTCAAGTGATGGGAGCTCACGTCACGAGCCTCCATCCACAAAACCCTTCGCTGAATAAACGGTATTTAGTCCCTTGGGGACGTTCAGTGGGAGGAAAGCAAAGAGATCCGGGCACAGAGCAGGAGGGACAGGACCGCAGAAATGAGCTGGCCATCCCGGGAGCTGGAGCATCATCTTAGCAGGGAGGGAACAAAACTGAGAGCCCCTCACCCAGCCCAGACCCTGCCTGGGGCGGTCACTCACCAGGGTGCTCACGGCCATGGGACAGCGGGGCACAGCAGCTGCTTTTACTTATGTGATGCCCACGGGTGAACCCAGCATGGCCCCCCCAACCCTTCCCCACTCCCCTCCTCTCCGCAGCTCCTGGGACACTGGATCTACATCACCGGCGCCTCCAAGTACGGGCCTCACCTGGCAGAGCTGAAGGAGTTGAAACATGCGGTTTTTGACCTCTTTCCTGGCAGCCATGAGGACGAGCTCAACGTCACCGAAATCATGAGGATGTAAGGACAGGGATTGACCCCCTCACCCGCCTCCCCTGTCCCCGAAGACATTCCCACCCACTGGTGCCATCCTCTGGGCTGAGCCACCCCCGCAAATTTGGGGCTGGAGAGCAGCTATGACAAATCTATTTAAGCTCTGCAGACCAGCTCGAGTTCTGAATCCCTTGGGATTGGGGGAGTATTTGCCCCATCTGACCCCTCTGCCCCACAGGAATGAGACGTGCGTCACGAGGAACACCAGCAAGATCCAGGTCTTCTGGCACAACTCCACCTTGGTGCACGGTAAAGCCCCGGCCGCAGCATGGGGATGGGGTGGGGGGCACCACAGCCACACCTTGCACCCTCATGCTTCTGCCCCCCATTATTTGGCACCCTGAGCCTCCAGAACCAGGCCTTTTTACACCTGAAAATATGTCTGGAGTTGGCGGAGGGGGGGGGAGGGAAATTTCTTCTACCCTGTGCAATGGGTATGGCAGCACTGTGGGACCAGACTGGTCCCCACTGGGATGAGTCTCCCTGGGTAAGGGGGATGAGCAGCCCCCACTACACTGTCGGGGCACGGGGTGACCCTCGCCAGTGGGGGACCCCGCTCTCCCCGTGCCTTCCAGCCGACGACCAGGTGACTTCCATGGCCGAACTGATCCAAAGCGACAAGGACCTGCTGATCCTGAAGCACTTCAACAACAACTTCCCAGGCCTGAGCCTCTCAGGTGAGTGGATGCTGCCCCAGATCCATGGGCCATATCCCTGCCCAGGAACACATCGATGGGCACAGGCATCCCCAGCCCTCACAGGCAAGGCAAAAAGCCCCTTTTCCCCCAGTATAAAGAGGAAAGGTGGAGGCAGGCAGGCAACAAGCTCCCCATCCACACAGGGACCACCAAGGAGAAAATCACCCCCTAAAACTCCCTTTTTTTCTCACCCTTCTCCTATCACCGCATTTCTCTGACAGCACGGACACCCAATGTGAGCAAGGAGCGCCTTGAGGAGTTCAAAACCCACCTGCACTGCCTGGGCTTCACTGAGGACGAGGTGTTCTTCACTTCCGAAAAGGTACAAACCCCTCCCCAGGGTGGGCGAGCCCCAGCCCGGGCTGGCTCCTGCCACCAGCTGGGATGGGGGTCCAGGGGAGGGGTGTAAGATCAGTTCCCCACCACGGCTGACCCTCTGCGCATTCCCTCTCCTCCCCACACATCCACCCCGGCCGTTCCTGGCTCTTCGGGTGGTTTTGGGGCGAGGGGAGCACCAACGGCCGCTCTCCCCCTCTCCTGCAGGACGCCTGTCCCCTGCCTGGGGAGAAGACGGGCGAAGGCAGCACGGAGCCGCAGCCAGAGTAACCCCCACAGGCCAGGTCGGCCACTCCATCCTCATCCTCCTCCGGCCTCTCCACAGGCACATCCCTGCCTGCCAGCCCCAGCCAGGCTCAGCTCAGCCTCAGGACTTTCTATGGAGGTTTCGGGTTTTTTTTTTTTTCCTCCCAGATGAAACGCCCAGTTTCCTTGTACTTGCCCGGACCCGAAATAAACCCCTTGTGTTACAACCGCCTGCTGCACCCTCGCTGGGACCGCGGGCAGGACCCCTCCTGCCTGCCCTGCCCATGATGACACATCTCCAAATCCGCCGAGAGCTGTGAAAAGCCCCAAATAAAACCCCACCAGGGTCTGAGCGTGGCAGTGGGCACAGAGATGCTCGTCCCTCCCACTTGTTCCGTGGTGGCACAGGACCCTCCAGGCCACCCGACCCAGCGAGTCCCCTCCAGCCACGGGGCATCAGGACATGAGCACCCACCCACCCATCAGCCCACAGGGAAACGCACAAATCTGCTGACACCCTCAGGTTTTCTCCACTACAACTCAAATCAGCTAGGGTGCTTTTAGCACCTGAACATCCCACCCAGAATTTTCAAGCCAAATCCCACAAGGTTCACCTGCGCCAGGGGCTTCCACAGGGGTCACAGCGGGCTGGGGTGACACCTCACCTTCCCTGGATGCCTCTGAGCCGGGGAAGGGGAAGAGGATGGGAAAACCATCACCCAGGGCCAGACCGAGGGACTCGGGAAGGATCCAATACCAGAGAGGAAAAGGCAAACGGAAATAAAGCCAGAAAAGCTGGTCCTGCCCTGCCCGGCATCACGGGGATGGCAGTGGGATAGGGGGTTGGGGAGCTGCTGCAAGGGACATGTCCAGCAGGACAGGAGCAATCTCCTGGGGCCACTTCAGCCCCATTTTTATGGCCTATTTTGGCAAGGATGGCAAAATCACCTTCCTTTCTCTTTGAAGCACCTTCGGGGTTTGCCCCAATGTGGGAGGCTGCAGCCCAGCCAGCACCAGAGCATTAGCAGAACAAGAGGCAACAACAGCGGCTACTCGCAGGGAAAAAAATGGGCACATTTAGGGCAGATTTAAATTTTAAATGAGGCAAGCACATTGCCTCATCACCCCCAGCCACGCCAACTGCCCACTGCCATCATCGCTCTCCGCTGGTGGCCGCAGCCAAGGCCATGGCAAGTGCTGAGCTCAGTGCCGGGCACACGGCTCTTCTCTGGGCAATGTCCCCGAAAGGTGCTGGTTGCGTCACCGGCGCGGAGCTGGCAGCTCCAGCACGTCCCGTTCCCTCCCCACAAAGCTGCAAAAGCAAACGGCCGAGCGAGCGCGTCCGTCTGTCCAGGGCTTCGCTCACCCCTCGCTTTCGGGGAGCCATGGCCGCAGCCGGGGTCACCACCATCCTCATCCTCGCGCTGCTGCTGCCCGCGGCCGCCGTCCCCTGCAAAGCCCCGCGCCCGGACAACGCCACGGCATCAAAGGTAGGAGAGACCCGAGCCCCGGGGGGCTGCCCCACTCCTGCAATGAGTTTGTGGCTGCTCTGCCAAGCCTCACTGTCCCCTAGGAAAGAGGGAATCCCTCCCTTGTCCCCCTGGCACGTCTGACGAGGCACCCCCTGCAAAACAGCTGCAACAAATGGGAACCGTTCGCTTTCCAAGACGCTTCGAATTACCCAGTTTGCTCGTGGTCCCCTGGCAAGTCCCAAAGGCGACCTAGAAACAAGGGCTGGCAGGGTATTTTCTGGTGCAAATCCCCTGTGTCAGCGCAGAGCTGCCCTGGCCCTGTCTCACTGCACAGGGGCACCAGAGCCAATGCCAACACCATTTCCCAATCCCCACATTCAGCACTTTTTTTTTTTTTTTTTTTCTTTTCCCCCTAGGCATTTGCACAAGTTTCATTTTGTTGCTGTCAGTGTGGTGCAAGAGGGAGAACCGGCAGAGGCCTGAGATCAAAAATACCAATTTTGCCCCAGGGAGGGTGGAAATCTCTTCCCCAAAGCTCCCCCTGCAAACCCAAAAGCTCTCACCCTGCTGCCCCTCTCTCCCCGCAGCTGCTGGGGACGTGGCTGTACGTGGCCGGGGCCGCCCAGTTCCCCCAGCACCTCCTGGAGATGCTGCTCATCGACCACGGCCACCTCCACGTGGAGCCCCGCGACAGAGAGCAGGAGCTGCTCCTCACCCAGCACGTCGCCGTGTAAGATCCAGCTCTCGGCTCGCTCTGCCCCATCCCATCTCCTCCCACGTGCTGCAGCCATTTCAGCACAAGATATGAGCACGGTTTCAGACAGGTTTTCCCAAGGAGATAGTCTCTCCTGGCCGCTCTGTGCACGCTCACCTGTCCCCCCCTCTCTTCCTCCCACCTTCTTTTATTTATTTATTTCAACAGCCCCCAGGTTTAGGCAAATATTGCAGGGTGCAGAGGTCTTGCAGGCACCAAGCTCTGCAGGTGTAGATGCTGCAGGACGCAGGCAAGGAGAAGACCTTTCCCCAGGTCCCTGCACCACAGCTGCTAACTCCACCGGGCACCAAAAGCTGATTCCTCCCCAGGGTCAGATGTTAAGGAGATGAATTTTTCTGTGCCAAGGCAGGCAGGTAGGTCTTTGCAGTTTTAGTTATTTCAGGGTGGAAAGTATCTCGACACCAAGGAACTGTGGCAAGGGCAACGCTGAGACCATGAGCTGCGGGTAAAGGTCAGAAAAACGCACGGGATAAATGGCTTTATTTTAATAGTGAGAGCAGTTAGCTCCTCAGAGGAGGTGGCACAGCCAGGTTCCCATCCCATGGCTGGGGTACATGCCCTGTGCCAGGGCCGGGGCTCAGCTGGTTCTTTCCAGCCCACGGGGCTGGGGGTGTGTGTGTGTGTGTGACTCCGCTCTCCTTCCCCATGTCACCCCTTCCCCTCTCTCTCTCTCTCTCTCCAGGGGGGACCAATGTCTCACCAACAACTCTACCTACTTCGAAATCACCGCCGGTAACACCACGCTGCTGAAGCACGGTGAGCAGCACCGGCAGGCACAGCCGGCGGGGTTATCACCCAGTCCGTTTTTTGGGTGGGCTGAGGCACACAAAGGGCCCATGCCCAGGTTTTACATCACCTGACACATGTTATTCCTGGGTTCCTTTGTCTGTTTGAAGCCTCGGTGGACTCCGAATGGCTCCCCCGGAGCTGGGGGCATCCTGGGTCGGCCCCACTCCTGGGGCACCCCGGGGATTGCGGCCCCACTGTCAAGACACACTAAACCCCACAAAGCAACACCGTGCTGGGAGCAAGGAGCAAACCTGCTCCCGGAGCAAGGAAGGAGACTGCCTCGCTTGTAAAGTTATTTCACAACCCCTCTGGGGGAGGAGGGGAACTTTTATGGCAGGTTTCAGCTCTGAAATCGTTTCCTCCTCACTGAGGAAATGGGGTGAGCCATTTGGGGTGGGAATTGCAAACACCCCGAGACACAGTTTGCACCGGCCCGGCCAATACAGCGTTGCTGAGAGCCAGGACAGTTGCTCCGTGTTTCTGCAGCCCCCCCAAGTTGTGGGGTTGGGCAGAGCTCATACCCGAGCTCCAGTGAGCCATGCCATCTACCACATCGCAACAGTAGGACGGGAGCTGGGGGGCTTCGGCTCCTTCACACCCCAGGCCCACATTTAAGAAATACAATTTAAATAAACCAAGAGCCAGATGAGTCTCCCCACGTGAGGACATTTGTTCTCACACAATGCTGAGGGCTGAATCCCCAGGGGCTACAGGCATCACCTGCACCAGGACTGCTGTTTATCACTGCTGCAGCACTGAATATCTAAATATCGTGGCTCTGCCCAACCTCGACTCTGTTCTCTCAAAGCCAAGACCCATCAAACCCTGGGGATGCTGATGAACCTCAGCTCTGAAGATGTTTTAGTCATCCAGTACCAACTGCAGAGGGAAAGGACGTATTTGGGACTGTATCTCTATGGTATGCAAACTCCACCCTAAAGTAACTTAAAGCTATCATGGGACACCAAAACAAGCACATAAAATTATCAGATAAAACCATGCAGCAACTTGGTTTTGACAACAGTCTGATTTTTCTGACACTGCTGCTCCAGGGGTCACAGGAATATTTACAAATCCCATTAAACCCTAAATCTCTTGGCAGAGCTGAAAGAGCAAGTTAAAGACAAAACCCACTTATGCCATAAATATTCAAAGAACAGGAAGCAAATACAATTCCTCATCGATATCATTGTAAAATCTCCATATTTTCAAGCTGGTTTTTCAGTACTTACCTCCCAGGGCAGAGCACGTGGCTTTGCAGTAGCGGCACAGGCAAAGCCGATCAGATCTATCTACAACCCCATAAAGCAGCATTTTAGACCTCAGTAAGGCTTCCCATCACCCTTCCAAGCTGCAAAGCAGTTACTTAAGAGAGTTTGAAGACATGGACAGAAAACTGCCTCCATGTTCAGCCTCCGTCCCTCCCAATGCCCCCAGGAGTATCAGACTATCCTGCAATCCCTTAAAGCAGACAGGACCGGAGCCAGCTGGGGAGAGGGTTAAAAAAGGGGATGCCCAAGGTTGGTTTTGTTCAGGTGTATTCACCATAGGGGTGGGAGACCCCGGCAGGGGCCACATCCACAGCAAACATTGGCAGGGAGGGAGGGAGGCAGCAAGGGCAGGTACAGGGCACAAAGGGCCGGGCTGAAGCCACCAGTACATATTTAACTCCTGGCAAATGCTTTTCCTTCTCTAGCCCGAAACCTGAGCATGAGCACAGCTCACCGGGAAGAGTTCGAGAACCAGGCCAAGTGTCTGGGGCTGAGTGAAGAGAAGATCGTGTATGCCCCGTGGAAAATGGTACGTGGCTGCTCACGGGTTGGATGCTGAGACCCTGGGCTGCAGGGGTCTTGGAGAGAGATTTTCAAGGTAGTAGAAATTATTTAGGGGACTACATAAACACAGCTTCAACAGCAACGATGGTTTAAATTAACACACTCCCTCGCAGATATGTGACTCCCCAAAGCAAATACCTGCACCCGAACATCTCCAGGGGGAAACCTGGTAACTCCCTGCCTCCCCCTGCCAGGGGGGAGACAGCTAAAGCATTGGATTTTTGCCCTGAAATTCCTAATTTCCACCCCCTCTACTCCCCCCAGCAGAGGCCAGCCACCCCCAGGAGCTGCAGCAAAGGGCAGAGGGGTGGGTGTCCCGGGGCACTGCAGGGCCCCACTCCAGCCAAAGCTGCAACCATTTAAATACCTAAAACCCCCGGGTTGTTTTCAGACTGAAATTTGCTTTTCTGGCACCCCGAGGTGCCACGTCAGGAGCAGGTTCGCAGCCTGGCTGGCTGTGGGGGGGGTTTGGGAAGATTGCTCAAGCCAGTGTCCCCCCCCCCCGACCGTGGGGGTGGCCAGCACAGAGGCTCCTTTTGGGCTGGGGTCCAGCCCTGCGCTCCCAGCCCCACGGGACATCAGGACAGAGGCAACACCATCCACACCCACAAAAAAGACTTTTTCCTTTAGTTTTTCTATAAAAACATTAACTGGACCCAGCCCTAGTCCTAACCTCTGTCACCCGATTTAGGACCTTTTATCCTGCAAATGACCCAGTCCCCAAGCCAGCTTGGTAGGACTCCCTTTTGCAAAGTGAAAAAATACCTTACCTTTTCCTGTCCCGTCCTGTCCATCTGCTTGTCCACAGCAGGAGACTCAGAGCTTCCAGCAGTGCCCAAAACCCCATTTTGAGCTGCCAGACCAGACCCAACATAGCCCCCGACATCCCCCAGCCTCAAGATGCTTCTCTTAGAAATGTCCCCCACAGGTTCAGGGGAGCAGGCTGAACCCCTCGTGGTGGGGCAGGGGCAGGTCTCCTCTCCCCATTAGGCAATGAGCAGCACCTGGGAGGCAGGGCCCAGCTCCCCCTGACTAACAGCTGGGTCACGTTTAAATTTGGGCAAGACAAATTATGTTTAGAGAAAGCCAAGATGAGTGGAATCAGCCACAGCTGTTTGTCCTTACAAGCCCTGGTGTGATCCCTGTTAGCAGAGAAGGGTTTCATGCCCAGCAAGAGGCAGGACACCACATCTGAGTAAAATGAAACCAGTTAAACAAATGAAGAAAATATTTTGGGGACCTTTGTCATCAGGCTGAAAGAGATGGACGTGAACAGAGCACCCGAGCACAGGCTCACGTACCCCTGCATCAGCCCGAGGCATTAGCAGAGGTAAAACCACGTTAATTCTGAGTGCCTGGGAAGCAGGAGCTTTTTACTTATTCCTCAAAGAGTTTGAATCCCCCTTTCCTTCAGAGCACACGTACTGACCCCCCAGCATAGCACAGCTTTGCCCCAGAAACCTGATTTCCTCTTTACAGCACAGGTGTGGAAAATTACACCACCAGCAGCTCCGCACCCAGGCAAGCAGCACCTGTGCCCGTGAGCCTGTAGCTTCTCTAGGCCCTCAGACTTATAATCAGATAAAAAGGCAAAGAAAAATAGTTTTCTTCAGTAAATCCTCTCCTGTTGGTGCACTGGAATTTCACTTATCCCATTCTTGTTGTTTTGGAAGGAGCTGTGTCAAGTGAAAGAAATAGGAGGAAGCGGCCCACGGACGGAGCCCGTGGCTGCAGCCACAGCATCACCCCCTCCTCCGGGTACCCACCAGCCCGGGAGCACCAGCACCTAACGCCACGTTAGGCAATAAAGGTCTTGCTCCAACACGATGCAGTTCATTGCTGAGATGCTGGAGAGCAGGGGGGGTCTGAAGAGATCAGGAGTGGGGCATGTAAAAAGGAATTGAACACCCAGCTCGCCTTGCATGTCGTTCAGGTAGGAGGTGGGAAAAGCCAGCCTTCGGCAGCGGGGGATACAGGACAAGGTGACAGGGGAGTTTTTTCCACGCTGACTCAGTCTGCTCAGCTTCACACCAAGCTCACAGGAGAGCTCTACTGAAAAAGCAGTACTTAAATGAAGTAGTAATTGAGGCTAGCCAGAAGAGGGCAATCATTAACTATTTTAAATGAGTATGCCAAGCATTTGATGAGTAACTGGCATATATAGGAGGCTAGAAACTTATCTTTAACTGTACATTCTGAGAGGAAGAGGGTGCTTAGCTAAAAGCAACCACCCAACTGTCTTGCCAGCAGCTAGACTGCCCGAAGTAGCCCAGCTGGAGCAGATGTTCCCACCCAAACCCTTTCGACCAGGCCAGAGCTCCCCAATAATGTCCATGCACAGGGAGGTTTGCAACACACTGTGACAACACTGGCAAATTATCCTCCTGCCAGAGAGGGAGGGGGTGCCAACCCAACCCAGGCTGGATTTTTATTTCCCCAGAGGAAAAGGTCATGTTTCCTCATTTCCCAATAAGCTCAGCACCCTGGAGGCAAGAAGGTTCCAGTGCCAAGTGTCACATTGCTCTCCGTGACGCCAGTACAGCCCTGAGCTCTTCGGGCACCTCACAGCCCCTGTCACAGCCCCAGTGGTGGGAAAGCACTGTCACCCTGTGCATGTGTGTGTGTGAAAACACAGGTATTGTTAAAAGAGGCTGCTTTTGCTGTGTGTCTGGAGAGTAATTCAGTCTCAGCTACAACCTAGTAATTAAGCACTGAAAATATCTCTCTTCCTTAAAAAGGAAGAAAAGGAGAAAAGCTGGAGGGAACGCAGTGAAGAAGAGAGCCCTGCTCCTCCCTCTGCAGCACCAGGGTGCCTGGTCCCCGCACAGCAGCATTTCAGTGCTGAGCTTTTGGCCCGATTCCTGTAGCAAAAATGAATCTTACAAGATCAAGGCCAATTCCCTCCCGGTCTCAGGGCACAGGTGGCTGGCCCGCCCGTGGTTCAGACATCTTCATCAGCTTGTGACACAGAGCGTAACCCCCCCACCTCGAGGAACGAGACAGTTAAAGGGCAGGAGAGGGGATCCTGCCAGGAGCCACGCGGTGATAAGCGTCTCAGCTGACACCACTGGAAACCAGTGGCTCAGATTACAAGGACCCAGACTTTACGAGTAGATTTATAGCTGAGTAAAAGCCTTGAGTTACAGTCAGAGACATAAGGAACCAACAAACCCAGTCTGGCCCCCGCGGCAAGGTTTGTTAACCAAATCAGAGGCCACTTGCACTACCAGCTACAGCTCCTGAATGACCTTCAAGGATTAGCTCCTGGTTGGGTTTTTATTTAAGAAAAAATTGTACAAAGCCTTTCTTTTAAAAATCCTATAAAGCCAGGTTCTTTCAAGGGCATAACTGGACTGCAGTTTCCACCTCTTCTCAGAAACTCACTTCTCTGAACAGTTACAGATACTGCACAGATGAGCAAAGTCCAGCAACACTCAGAGACAGGTTAACAGTATGTGAACATCCCCAACTCATCACCACCATCGTTAGCCTTCATCCCAGGTTTGCTGGTTTTGCCTTTAAGAAGAATTCCGTCCTTCTCACTGTCAGCATCCTTGGTGAGAATCATTCCAGGAAGAGTCTGGCCAGGAACAGCACCAATAAACAATATCGAGACAGAGATGCAGACACATGGTATCTCTTTGACAGACCTTTATTAGCAGACTGTTCCCTACATGAAGAATCCAAGTTAGATTTGCATTATAACAATTTGTGGTTACAGCTACAAAGATGGTTGTCATTTTGCATTGATTTTTGCATTCTGATATTCGTATTCCCATTAGGCCACACTGGTAGGAAGGAGCCACTGCAGAATTTGTGACAGGTCTCAAGAAGCAGGGAGTGGAAAAAAAAAAAAAAAATCATACCACTAATCCATATTGGTTAGATTACCATGTGGCTAACTGCTGACAGCACTGGATAGTCAAGGCCTCACTTGGAAGACTCTCCATGAACGACCAGATTCTGTCAGCAAAAAGGCAGCTGCTGAGTGCTAGCAAACCCTTTTCTGGCTTCTCACACACTTCTCCACAGTGCCCGCTTGCATGAGAAGAGCACTGGCTCAGCAGCAGTGCCTGCTGATGTAGCCTCAAAGCACAACTGCAGCAGCTTGTGTCCGAGGGCAAGTTTCCTTCCATGTCTGGAAACTTGTATTTCCTTTAGTCCCTGAGATTTCTCCCCTCCCCCCCTTACCTAAAGATTCCCCAAGATCGCTCTCCATTAGCCGTTGTGACATCCAACATACACAGACCTTCTCCCCAACTTCAGCCATCCACCTGAAACCCTTCCAGCCACACACAGAGGCAATTCCAAAATAAGGCGAGCCTCACCATGCACCCTCTCCCTCCTCCCAAGGTACTGCTTCCTCACCAGCTCCCTCCTCTCCTACGGCTTCCTGCTACAGAATTTCTCTGGGCTGAGGTCCTCCAGCAACAACCCCAGATGTGGGAAAGGCAGCTCAAGCCCCAAAGGGAAGGTACGCAAGCAACTTCAGCATCCCTCCCCACAACTCAGCTGTGTGATGTAAGAGAACAAATAGAGAACTTTTTAAAACAGAAGAAATACAAGCACAGTAACAATATTTAAACAAGTCTATAAAAATAGTCTGACATAACTCTGTTCAAATAAATACAAAATAAATATGCTTTAAGCAGTAAGACAGTGGAATGCAACGCTGGTCCGTTTTGCCCAAAATGAAACGTTGGATGAGGATCTCTCAGGCCTCAGAAGCTAGATCCTATCAACTAAAGTAGCCCATAACACAGTCAGAGAAATTTTAAAGCCATCTCTTTCCCTTAGCCTTATGAAAAGCACCCTTTGAAAGAAAAGCAAGCGCATCTTAAGGACTGAAAGCTCAGCTCTCCCAGTGACAACCAGCCCCTCTCCCTCACACCCCTTCCCACAGCAGACATACTCCTGGCTTGGGGACTCCACCTCACTAATGCAAACCTGAAACATCAATCTACAAAGAGGTCTAAAGAGATAGATAGCAGCATAGGCACAGGGTTTGGAAAAGGTCCACCAACTATCCTTGGCACCAGGCAGAATGGAATTCAGTGGTCCATGCAACACTGCACAGGGGCTCTCGTGTCGTGCTGGGAGCACAACTGCACAGGAGCTGTGAAATATTGTCTTTTTGTGCACTAAAGCCATGCATCAAGGTGCCAGTCCATCCAGGGTTCTCCTGTCTTCCCCTTTCCAAGCCCCTGCTGAGTATAAGACAAGCCAATCCCGGCATGCAAAGGATACAGGCATGCAGGCTCTAGTCTGCTGCTTCTGTTAGTAAGTGCATCTTGTTAGTGGATTTATGAGATACACCTACAAAAAATAAATAATCCTAATTCTTCATCAGGCTGGCCTAAGTAACATTCAGCCTGAATGGATAAACCACTGCCCACCAGCCCTCAAAACCAGTATAGTTCAGTTACATTTCATGTCAAGTCTTGGAGGCAGAACATGAATGTCTCCTACCCAAAGGAATATATGTAAACATAACAACAAGCCTGGTGTGGCAGCAGCTCCTACACAAGGTTTGTACAAATTTAAACAATGGGTAGGAAGTTAAACAACTGAATGGAAAAAGAAGCTCTCTGAATGGAAAAAGAAGCTCTTCCAGCGAGTCAGAAGGTGCTCATCTGCAGGCAAACAGCTCTGTACACGCAATACACTGCAAGAAGACCTGTTACCCAAATCTTTGCTACTCTGTCATACTGCTGGGAACTGACCTCAGCAACTTGTGCCTTAAGATTCTCCCAGGAGTTCATCTCCTGGTCTCCCAAAAGGCCCAACAAAAAGGACCACATAATGGTTTATGTGAAGCTCTGAGTAGCAAGATGGCAAAGGACATCAGATCCTCCCCTCCCCCTTACTGACTCACAAACTATCTGAGATTTCACAGCTTTGCTTAGTCAGCTTAGTGTCAACACATTCACAGAATGAGAGATGGCTATACGTCTTGGGATTGCACCCCAAGATTTCAGAGTTCAAAGTCCTCAGCATCTCCTGGTCACCGTGACTGCACACCCAGAGTCATCTTCAAGTTTTCATAAACCACGTAGCTGATGCTTACAGCTGGGATCACCTTCATGAAGTTTGGCGCCAGACCCCGGTAAAGACCAAATGCTCCCTCTGTCTTCAGAATGTGTTTAAACAGTCCCCTCATCGTCACTTCAGGAGCACCTTCCACTGAAGCTGCAATAGGGAAAGCCACAATAAACAAATGCAGCCTACGTAGTAAAAACACTTTAAATTAAAACCTGTCTCAAAGAGCAGTTCTGAATCACACGCCTCCTGTGGATGTTCACAGAACAAAGGTGCTTCATGGAGGACAGCACCTAACTCCTCAGCAAGCCAGAGCTGTCTCGTACACCACAGCCATGCTCTCAAGCTGCTCTGCAGACACCCTTAGCCCAAAACTCCTGATCTGAGCAAAACAGAACCTCTGTCCTGGAGGTGCTTGGCCCCAGATGCTAAGGGCAGCACGAAGTCCACTGTCCTCTTACAGCACAGCAAATAGCCTACTGCTCAGCTGCACCGGCCAGTTACGGCTGTTGTTGCAATGTTTACACTAGAGGACCTTTCCCCTGCTCAGAGACCATGACAGGAGTTCCCAAAGTTCCCAGAAGTTCTCACCTTGGGCCTGCATGCGTGTCCTCACGAGAGCCAGTGGGTAACTGGCAAGCTGCCCGCAGGTACTGGAGATGGTGCCACAAGCCAGCAGAACGAAGACTCCAGGGTCAGCACTGTTGACAGCATAGCGTTGCAACCAGGCATTTTTCAGTGTCTGGAAGGAAAAATTCAGATGTTAGCACTGAAGCAGCAATCAAAATAATATCACATTACATAAAAGTTCTAGCATAAAGGCCCAGAAAGCTATGTGCAAATTCAGCCAGAAGCACTAGGCTTCCGAAATCTTTTTGAGCCACTGATACTGTAGTGCCTCGGGAAAATCCCTTCTTTAATTTTCTACTGCAATTTTCTCCAAAAAAAGAAACAAGGGACCATGCATGATGTTGACCAGGAAAGGAGAATCATTGTATTGGATTACCTCTTCGGTCATTTTGGATTAAAAAAAAAAAAAAAAAAATCCATTTGTGCCCCATAAGGCTGATCAAGAAAACATGGATAAATTACTTAAACTCCTGTAGTAACTGACAAGTCTGACTGATAAAACTACACAAGCAGCACAGCCCTACAATAGTGGGGGGGGGGTTGACCTCAGCTGGGGAAAATTAACTCAGACCCAATGCAGATAGGTTAAAGGCTTCATACCTCATAGACTGCCAGGTCAATACCAGCATACGGAATGATTCCTAGCATGTTGGGGATGTAGCCTTTGTAGAAGGCAGCCATTCCCTCCTTCGAAAGGATGTTTTTGGCACAGTCCAACATGCCTGAATATTGTCCTGTCTTCCTTAGAGCCATCCGTGTTTTCAGAACCTATACGACAAGAATAAATACCATGAAAACTTAACAGGAGAATCAATAGGAGGAAACTGTATAGACAATGTAACTAAGACGTGATGGTCAGGACTACAGCAAGTGTCATGCAAACAGTATTACCCAATTATTACCCCCAAGAACTCATCACAATTAATCTATCACAGTGCTGGTGTTCTACCCACATTTTCCCATCTCAGCACCAGGCCCTGACCCCACATGGGCTGGACTATCAGCCACTGCCTCACCTCCATGGGGTAGATGCTGCTCTGGGCAATGGCCCCAGCCAGAGAACCAGCCAACAGCCGCTCATGGATCCTCAGCATTTCCTGGTCAGTACCAATGAACCGCTTGATCTGTAGAAGCCAAAACAGACATTGAGGCTCCCCGACTTCTCAGCTGTCTTTTTCTTCCAGCTTGTCCTTCCGCAGCCAGACTCATCTGTGCCCTTTTACTCACCTGCTCATAGGCCATGAACTTAATGGCAGATTCCGGTGCAATCTTCAACACATTGATGCCATTCCCTCGCCACAGTGACCTTGGCCCACCCTCTCGGATCATTTGAGTAAAACCGCCAACGATGCACATGTTGTTACTGCGAGAGGCATGAACCTGGGACAGAGAGTGCAAGCTTGGATTAGTTCCAGTCCTGATTACGACAGCGCTACGTTTTTCTGTAATCCAGGGACAAAAGGGCGCTTTTTTATTTACCCAGAGATTTGCCAAGGCTTTAATCCCTTCCAGACAACTTCTACAATAGGAAAGCAAGCTTCTTTTCTTTTTTGCAAAGTCTAGTGTTAACTAATGAGTCTAATCAATATCTCCCTCTGGAATGGGAGGAAAGGTTAAATCAGCAACTCACACACCTAGCGTAGGATCAGCTACCCAGGGTAAACTCAGTTGGCTCAAGAGCGACACGGCAGGCTAAAATCAATTTTTTCTAACTCCTTCCTAGCGTGGATAATAGTGAATACGAGCTCTGCCAGCTGTCCACCACAACCACTTCAACTTTCATGTCCTCAGGGTCTCTCACAGGAACACAAGACTTGAACTTGTTTCAGGAAAACTCAAGTTTTCCAGTGCTCTAAAGAACAAAGCTCTCTAACTATTGACAGTTTTTACATGTCTCCTTCCCAAAAGACTCTCTATATTCTTTTATATTCAATGAAGAATAACAATGAAGAATAAGCTTTCAAAAACAGCAGTATAAAACCAATGAGGTTAATCCTGGCCCGATTAATCTCTGTACTGTGTTGATGAGCATTATCATCTCCTAGGCATCCAGGAATATTAAAAGAATCTGCCCGGGTATTCGAGCAAACTGGAACTGCTTCATCATACCTGCATGAGCACTTTCAAGCGGTCCAAGGGAGCTGTACAGGTTCTGGACACAGCACCTGCACCTCCACCTGCAACCAGATGTCTCCACCACATCCCTGTCTGCCTCTCTTCCACTGTGAATTCGTCAGGGACCGTCAAATTCTCTCCTACATCAAAGATCTGCAAAAGTATAAGGTGTTGAGAAATGTTTCATCAGCTAGTGATCTTGCCAAAGTTTTATTGCTCTTTATCAGTGTTAAGTGTTGAAACACTGGATATGCTTATTCCAAGTCAGCAGCTTATCTATAGCCATTAACTTCTGTGACTGGCCACAGAACTGCCACTGCTATAGCACATCACAGGGGGAACCTTCACATTCAGAGATTTCTGACCAAGAAGCTGGCAACTGATGAACATTTGTCTGCATTAAAATACTGTGAATCATAGTAAGGAACAAAATGACCAACTGCGAGCAGCTGCATGGCGAAAAAGCTGGACTTCTCTGGAACCTTCCAAGTTCACAGCCAGTTTAATCTCATTACGTGCTATTTACACACACTGAAATATCTCCAGGAAGGACGGCTGCCTGTCAAATCAGTTTCTAGTCTTAACAGGTCCTGAACCAGCAGGGGCTGGCCACTGGTACAAGCTCTCAGAGGTACAAGCCAAGTGAACACCCTCATCTTCTTGCAGAACATGAAGTTGTTATCACCTGTGCCAGAGGCTTCAGAAGCCATGCCAGTGATAGGTGGCAAGATAACAGGACAGGAAGCAATTGGGCTTCTAGGGCTACAAGGCAGCTACTGAACCATGAAGAGAAGGATGGGGACTGCTGATAGCAGCTCCCAGGGGTCAGGACTCTGTGAAGCTGGGGAAAGACCAAGACCTGTTGCAGAAGAACCATTTCTTACCGTGGAGTGCTTCCAGTACAGGATGATTTCAGGAATGTTCTCCACCGGGTGCAGCAGGTGATAGTCTCGCCACTCATTCCAATCAATTGTCATTGTCCCATTTTTATCCATGCTAAAAGGATTTATCATTAGATGAGTACAGACTCCCACTGGGTGGCAAATTCTTCCTCCCCTTCCCTTTGATTATTCAGGCCTACACCAAAACAAGCTTTGCAAAGCAACTACTAAAAGACTTCTAAAGAGACACAAGACAAAGCTAGGAAATCTTCTATTCACCAAACACTACAGAAAGGTAGAGGTGGGCTCCCTTTTTCCTTCCCTCTCTCTCCCCTTTAACTGACCCAGAGGAGTAGTTGCACCCCTTCTACCAAACTTAGGGATGTAACTGACACTGAAGGGAAAATAATACTTACTAGGTGACAGGACCCCAGAAGTGTCCCGTCCTTATTCTGACACACAGGCAAACAGACAGAGGGAAGGTAGCAGAGGAAAGAAAGAGGAAAAAAACAGCACAAATAAGTGGTTGTTAACATGTTAGGGCCACATGCATAAAGCACTAGGCATTTCCAAAGAGCACAGTCTTTCTCCAAAGCAGCAAGCTCAGGGCAGCAGGAAAATCGGACAGGGATACAAATCAGCTCAGGTGCAAGCACCTCCCCACAACAGGTGAGGAAGATAAGAGATTGTGACAGTAACTCTCCATAATGCATTACAACCCTGTAAGTGCCAACTCATGGTAAATAAAATCAAAATGAAGAGTAATGGACAAAAATGGGGAGGAGCTGAAGTCTCTGGAAAGTATGTACAGGGTAGAGAGAGGAGATGGGTTCCATGTTCCTACATTTCCTTCTAACCCCCCCAGCAGTAAAACAGAACCACCAGCTGAATCCTTACCTCTTCAGTATTTTCTCAGCCTGCTGTTCAGAGATCTTGACACCCAGGTCCCGAAGTGACTGTACAATCTCCTGGGCATCAATACGGCCTGCAAAGGTAAGCCAGTGAGCTCAAGTATACATATTACAAGCTAACACATGCAGTAGTCTTTTCTTGAGCTTGAGAAAGGTGTTTACCATCATTCTTCTTATCCAAACTCTTGAAGACCAGTCTCAGCTTCTTTTCATGATCTTGGAGATAGTGAACAAATTCCTCAAAATCCAGCTGTCCATCCAGGTCCTTGTCTCCAGCCTTCACAATTTTCTGTTCAAAAAAAACATCAAAAACTGTCACTTCCTTTTTTTCATTCAGGCAGATCTACCCCTTCTACCATATTTAAAGATTATTTCCTACATGACTGACTCTTCCTCCAGAAAGTAGCTGACAGTTATCATAACTCCTCAAACAAATTTGAGGAAAGCTGTAGTGTAGAAAGAAAAGTCACCTGACTCCAGGCTACTGTTTCCCAAAGGTAGTTACGCAGATGAAATGCTTCATGCTTTTATCAGGGATATTCTGCTAGTATCATGTGTCTGATCTCTTGAGTAACACCTTACAAAGCCCTTGTGGAGGTTCTTGAACTAAGTAGGAGGCAACAGATTTGCATAAAAAGTGAATCTCAAAACTTCAGGTAATAAAAAAAAAAAAAACCAAACACCTGAACAGGAGGAGGAATTTCATGCCTACTATGATCCTTAGAGAACTAAGCTCCCTCTGGCAATAACTAAATCCAACCAGAAAAAGCCTGTCCCGCTCTACTGGACACAGCCAAAGATAAAAACCCCTGTGAACTGGTTTAGGCACCCTGAAGCGATGTACTTTAATTATACAAGTTTCCAAGAGATGCATATAGAACAAGAAAAGGTTCTTAGTAGGACAAAGCTGAAATCAAGATCAGACTCTGTGCCAGACATCTAGGACAAGGTAAACGGCTAATTAATTCACTCCAGCATGTGACAACAGCAGATCGACTGTCCTATCTAAAGGCACGTGGCTACTTGTTGACAGGAGAGGTGATCTCTGGACTACAAGAATGTGGCTCAGGGAGTTCCTATTCTCCTTCTTGTCCAGTCACTTGCCTTTGATAGCCTGTAAGTCTTTTACAACATGAATCGGTGAGCAACACTAAATGAAGTGTGATTTAGTCTACTGCATCACCTAAATTTTTAATTCTTGTAACATTTATGTGAACAGCAGGTGGGTTGTTAAGGAAACTCACAAGTTGAGATCAAACTCTAGGCCAACCCTTCATTTACCAATATTTTATTCAATATTTAGGCTTCAAAGGTAATAGGCAAACCTAAGCTTGTTGAGATATTTCCTCAGCCTAAGTGCACGTGTCCCCTTCATAAGCCTTAAGTCTCTGTTTCAATGCCATTTTAAATTGCTTCAATACTAAATACTTCAGTATTAAAACTCTCTCTCCCTTGCCCCACCAAGTCCTGTCACTTTAGCCCTGATGCTATGAGGATTATCCCTGATCATTTTATGAACCTTAAATAAGAAAGTGCTGTCCCAGCTGCCCCGACCTTTGAGGTATGCCCAGTATCCTTAACCTGCAATTTATCATATGACTGTTGTAAAGTTCAGATATGACCCCACATTCAACTTGTAGGCTAAAGATAGGCCAACATCCCTCGAATGTCAGCAGGTCGGCCTTGAACAGCTGAATCAGGGCTTCCCTCTGACTGGCAACCCCCAACCAGCTGACAGGCACTAAAAATTGAGAGGCACTGTAAGAAAGATGTGACTGTGCAACTGCTCCCGCTCTCTCAGGACACCCCTCACAACTGTGGAGATGTGCAACCAGTGATCAGAGACCACAGATAATAAAAGCCGCCTTGCTCTGCTAGCCACCTTCCTCCACCATCACAAAGCAAAAATGCTGTAAGCCTGTCAAACAGGAACCTGCAACACATGTGAAGGGTGAGAAAGCCAAGCTCCCAGCATCTTCTCCAGAGTTATGAACAAATATCTGCCTGCAGCTCCCTGCCTTTAACAGAAAATAGGAAATCTCCATAGACAGAACTGCTCGTAACAGCTATGCTGGCTGCAGTCGTTTCTATGGTCACCTGCATAACACACTGTGTCTGCAGCACGCTTTGGGACCCCACATGTCTTAAAGCCTGCTACATCTCACATTTGTGTGTCTGCACAAAGGTATAAAAAGCCTACCCAGCCTTGCTATTCAATAACCAGCTGCCTGGGCTCTTGACAGCCTGGTTGTGAAAATCACGGCAGTGACAGCAAGCTGAAAGCAGGGGCTGTGATCCAGAATCGGACAGAGCGCTCCGTGGATTTAGTGCCTCTTCCTCCTGCTGCGAAGGGAAACGTTCTTGCACAACCTCCCGGGGCTCAGCCCCCGCACCGCTGCTGAGCCGCGCTCTGGCTCACAGCACAGACCTGCTCACCTTCACCGGGGCGAGACCTGCATCGGCTCGAGCTGACATTAGATTACACACCTCCCGTCAGAAGGGGGGCAGGCGGAAGCGTGTAAGGAGGAGGAAAAGGAAGAGGATGCGAAACGTTGAATGTGAGCAGACTAGTTAAAGCAGAAGAATTCACAGTTTGGAAAATCCCTTTTGCTGTTTAACTTGCATCAAATCAACTGGTTTAAACAGTCTTAGAGGCACTGAGAGCTCATCGCGTTCAAACCAAAAGAATCAAAAAGTCCGCTCCACACTGTTTCAGTGATCTCTGCCAAAGGGCAAGAGAAACATGTGCCTGGAGTACCCAGCTATTACAACAGAGCCATCATGAACTTCTCACCCACCAAGCAGCCGCTCAGGGGGTTGGAGACCACCCCTCGGCAGCTCGCTCCCTCCCACTCCTCCCTCAGGGCCATACCTGCTTCCACTGGCGGTAGGTGGAGAACTCCTGCGAAGGAATAAAGAGGCTGAGTCGGAAGATGGATTTGAGTTCAGCCGGCAGCCCCTTCGACTCAAAGTATTCAAACTCCGTCTGCGACTCCCCGAACACTGGCACATACAGGCAGAGGCAGAGCATCTTTCTGAGCCGGAGACTCAGCTGCCCTGCTCAGACTGACTGGCAAGCGAAGTAAAACTGAATGACTCCCCTGAGCTAATTTCAGTGCGTAGTGCAAAGGAAATGCCAGCAAGTCTCATGACACATGCCTATGAGCGCACCGGGCTCCGGTGGGATTGGCTGTACAAGCCCTGCCCTTCTACTTAAAAGGGAAGCCGTGGCCGTCCGTCCCACCCCAGCCACCCGACCCATGTGAGCTGCCTCCCCTTGCTCAACACCAGGCTCCCATTAAACCCCACGAGCTTACATCATGCTCGCCGCAAGTTAACTCTTACCAGCGTGTCTTTTAACCCAAGAGGCTTTGGCCAACAGCCAAGACGCTCACTCGCTCTCCCTTACATCCCATCAGTCCTTTCTGATCCTGTTCTCACCCCTCTGGGGATTTACATGTGCAGCACAGTAGGGATCAGTCTTCATCACAACCTCTCCATCATACAACACAGGAGGACTCACCACAGTAAGTGCAGGATGCAGTCACTAACTGCTTTTGTACATGTTTTGGATATCCAGCTTAAGCAAAATCCTTGAAATTCCACTTTTATAAGGTTATTTTGCTATGCCAGAGTTGATTGGCTTTGGTTGCAAGTTCAAAAAAAAAAAAAAAACACACTTGTGCCAGCTAGGAGCAGGCAACTCCTGCATACCACGATCTCTCTCCTCTGCAGCACTCCAGAGCTGCTAATACAGGCAACAATAAAGCCTGTGGAGAAGCTTTGCCAACGTGTCAAATACTCAGAAAACCATCAAAATCAAGGGCAGGCTTCAAAACAGACCCATCTGCTTCAAAGCCTCCCATCTAAGCATTCACACAGCAGTTATACCAGCTTAATAGTTTTTCCTCCTCTTCCAACTACAATTAAACATTGCAGTCGGATATGCACTGTAATGACAAGTGGCCAGGGCAAAACAACATTTTCCAGTTTCTACCACTTACAATTTAGCCACTTTGTAAGCAAGTTCCTGAGCTTTCATCAGAAGCAAGCCAGGCTGAAGAGTGAGTGTGGCGCACACATCATTTAATGTGGATATAATTACAGGCTTCTGAGCATTTAGTGGAGTTTGATGTATGGGATAACACCTAGTACTACAGTAAGAGTAGCAAAGAATTGCAGCAGGTCACAAAGCTGCTCAGTACAGAATTACTAATTGCTAACATGAATTTTAAAACAAAGTTATAGTCTTGATATTCGTCAAAGAGAAGCCATCATACAGGGAAGATGCAAAAAGCCATAGCCAATAACCAAAACACACTAATCCTGCCCACACTTGAAGTAACACAGCTTGTTTGCTAAACTGGTTTAAGCCAGTCCAGCTAACAGCCTTCCCCACCACTGCAGACACAGCAACATTTTCTTGTGTTTGCTCTGTTTAAACAGAGTGCCTGGCCAGTGCAAAGTCCAATAAGCACTCCCCTCCTCAGATCCTAATGCACAAGGGGCCTCTACGTTTTTACTGTCGTGTTTTGTTCTTTAAAGAAAAGCCAAGGTCTGTAATGAGCTGTTTGTGGAGCTGCATGTCAATCACACAAATCAGGAATATTTAATCTGGGGCTTTATTTCAAGGATTTTATTTTTTTTTTTTTAAAAAAAAACCTTAATAGATCATGACTTGCATCAATTCAGTACCCTTGAGAACCATGACCTACAACAGTTTCTTATGCCCTTGCCCCAAGCACCTCTCCCACCATGGCACTACTGCCCTGTTACCTAACCAGGCTTAACCTACTCCCTGCTGACGTCTCTCCACATGAAAACAGGATCTTCTCAGGGACTCCAGATCCTCTTAAAGATCAGTTGCAGCAGCTCACTACATGCACGCCAACAGCATACCCCAGCCTTCTCACCAAGTCGAGTCTCTGCAAGCAGCATCCTAATGCCAAAAGCAAATACCTTCAGCAGCCTGGCCAAGGCAAGCAGCTCCCCCCCAGCTCCAGGCAGTAAGTGAACAAATGTAACTCAGACTTGCCCCACCAAGCCTTCAGATCCTCCATAGTCCTTCCCAAAAACTGCCAAGCATCACTATTAAAGCTGTTTGGCAGCTCAGTTGCTATGCCAACATGATGCAGATTTTCCTAATAAACTGTCTGGAGGTAGCAGCTACAGACAAAAGGCAAAATCTGCACATTTTAGGAAAGAAAAGCCCTACTTGCTTACGTCAGAGGAAAGGAGAAAGGTAATGAGGTTAAGAAAGCTGAGTTTAAGCAGGGTATTAATTACAGGACAGCAAGTTAAGAAGGAGAGACAGATTATAAATGAAGTTTATACCAGCAATTCTGATTATACTGACAAAGGGAACTTAAGCACTAACCAGTTTTTAGATTTCACCTAAAAAAATCCCGGTAAACCTGGAAGAGCTCAAATGCAAGACAGCTCTCCAAAGCTGGAGGGATCAGTGCGGCTGGAACACAAGTAGTAAGAGCCCAAACCCGAGCCAGGCAGCCGGTCCCGCTCCCCCAGCCCCTGCAGGCACCAGCACCCCCCCCCCAGGGCTTCAGAGGCGAGCGGCAGCCAGCACATCCCTCCTTAGCACGGCCTGATCAAACCAAGGACAGGGCACAGAGCTCCAAAGGAAGCCAGTCCTCTTGAGTCAGCCCTCCCTGATATTTCTTCCATCCACCAGTCCCGCCAATGAAGCCAGACCTACACCTTTCTGGTAACGTGAAGCCATCCTAGCTAATACCCTCCTCTGCTAAAGGGAGCACTAGGTGGGTCCATCTTCCTTCTACAGAAGGCTCGCTTTTCTTGCCAGCAAGGAAGCTGAAAACTTGTTTTCATCTTATTTATAGCATTTGGTTCTTATTTAAATGCTGCACGAGTTACCAGTTTCAATACCCTGCCATTCCAACGCTAACCTTTCCAAGTCATTCGTACTCTTCTAGGCATCTGCTTCATCACCAGTTTGCTACATCAGCTCCAGAAGGTACCTCCCAAAAGGCTGGGAGGATGCAGCCATACAAGGAACAGGAAAGTATGCTGTTTAATTTTGAATTTACTTTGCTAAAAAAAAGTCTCTAAAAATATCAAGTGACAGTGAGCGTCACAGCGACATAACTAACCTCCTCCTTCACAGGCAAAACAGCTTTCTGGGTGAGTACACCATGGGCCAGAGAGAACCGCTACTGCTCAAAGTTTTCTCAAGGCTCTGCTGACTTAGTACTTTTTAATTTCTGGAAGCTAGCTTATAATTAATCGTACAGTACAGGAAGTCCTTACAAAACACAAAGAGTGTCAAGTATATGAAGGAGGGGAGTTAATCATTTAAGATACCCCAGCAGAGTAAAGAGCCGCAGCCAGCCAAGACTGTACAAGGGGAAGAATAGAGATGGGAGAAGGCAGACAACGCTACATGGTATTTGACATAGAGGTAACCAGGAAAGGTGACCTGTTCCACTAACAACACACAGATCCAAAGTTACAAGTCCGGATGGTGACATCAGGGGCAGATCATACCTCTCTCCTGTGTACACACACCCAGGGGCCAACGCATCACATTTGTAATCAGTATTCTCTCCCACATTTGCAAGAACAGCTTCATGTTGAAATCATTACCTTTAGTGTGTTTCTACTCAGATCCATGCTTAATGACAACATGAAGATTGCAGAACCAGGGCTAGGAAGCAGCTCCAGTCAAGTTTATCAATACATGTGAATTCCTTACAGGAACCTCAGTATCAGGTGTGATATCTTCTGGTTTTAGCAGATAGGTAGTTACAGGTGTTTTACAAAACAAAGTGGCATACCAGTCAAGAGACTTCTCCCAAGATCACAGACAATTAGGGGCAGAGAACAAAAGCTGTCCCCCCCACCTTTTCTTTAAATACCAAATAATACTGTTTGCTCACAGTGGTTTGTAATCTATCCCTAAGGCCATACAGGACTTTTTGCAACACTTCTCCTTCACACAGGTAATTAAAAAACAGATATCTGATCAGGCACAAACAACTGCAGCTTAATAAATTACTGTCCATCAGCTGAGCCACGATGGCTGGATGCAGTATTAGCCAGCCTGAAATGCAAGGTAAAATATATCTGCATAATCCTCAGCAGAAGACCTTTACACTGTTTTACTTTTCAATCATGGCAAGCTAAAATTACACAGTCACAACCCCCTAGAAGAGGGCAGTTACTTCCTAAACTACAATAACTCCATTTTACCACAACCTTATCCTCTAGGTATTTCTCCATTAGCCAATTTTAGGGTTCCTATGCAGCAAAACTTCCCAGGATCACACAGGAAAGAGGAGATTAGCATCAGCTTTCAGAGAAAGCTTCATTTGTAGGTGCAAACAGATGGGCTCTGCCTGACTGAGGGACCATTGTTCCCAGAGATTTTCAGCCTTACACTTTCAAGGTTTTCATCACAACCTCTTTCAGCTCTGAGCCTCTGTCCTTCTTCAACCTCTGTGCGCAAAAGTCCTCCTCTTCACAAAATGCGCACGCTCCTCTGTTGGAAGAGGATGCACAGTGCTAACTGCTAACGACAGGGATGAAGGCAAAAGTCCCTGCAGATTTTTCAGTCTGATTCAAGCAGGGAGTGGCTTCCATTCCCCAGAATGCAAAATGCCACCGTGCCTGTTTCCATTCAAAACAGCAGAACAGACACTAATCCCCTCTACAACTTAAACCTGTTCATCCCCCATTTTAGAGAGAAAGCTTACAGCAACAACCATGCCCGATTCCCTGTCAAATAAACTGGATCCTGCAAGTCATGCACCCCTACCCCTGCTGCAGACCTTTAGTATTATCCCAAACTCCCACCGCTCGCAGGGGTTATGCCCGACTCCTTCTCCCCTAATCCCACGTCACACCCTTCCTCAAACCCCAAGCAGTCAGAGCTGACTACACCATCCTCAGGTAAAACAGACAGCATTCCCTCCCCATCAAAAATAAACCAGAATTGCAGTCAGCCAGCACTGTGCTAGGAGCCCAGGCACTAAACTAAGCAGCTTTTGTTTGCTTCCCCCCAGACAAAGCCTCACCATTTATTCTCTGCCAGTTGTGCGCACCCAGCACCTCCCCGCTCTCCCACCCCTTGGGAAGTTCCCATCCTCATGCAGATTTTAGTCTCCCCCTTATGCCACCCGCTCCCCAGGGACAGGCTTTACTCTCTTCCAGGCTGTGCCATTCAAATAATACAGCCGGTTACTCATTTGCTCAAAACATGTTAATTTTTCCAGTGGCTTGCCAAATTAGAGTGACTCCAGAACATTTTAAGATCTATTTGATCCTTTGCTGGTCTCCAGTGCAGGGGTGGGACTCACCACTAACCAGCCTTATCATTCCCTGCCCTCTCAGTCATGCTTCTTACAAGTTGCCCAGGAACCTTCGAGACCCCTATATTCCCCTTTGCCCCTAAACAGCACTTTCCCCCCCCCCCCCAGCCTTTGAACATCATGTCTGAAAGGTTAGATCACCTCCTCTCTTCACAGTCATTCCCCTGGTGTCCCCCCCACCATTTCCCTTCTAGCAAGCATACACGTTGAACCCTGCTCCCTTTTCCTGTTCCTCTCCCCCCTCCCCAAATACAGACACACCCACCCCCAGCTACTCACACACCCACCCTGCAACACCCCTACTCCCAGTAGACCACATACTCCGCTGTCATGTGCACCAACCCCTCCTCAGGCCCCTGGATATCCCGTTACCTTTGGAAAATGCTCTGCGGGTCCAACCACCAGTAGGATAGTTGGTCTCCTTTCAGTGGGATCAGTCCCTCTGTCCTGTGGCTTCCCCAACATCTTTGGCCCTTTCTCCCCGGGGCCTGGAAGTGGGGTGGTGTTTCTGGCCTCATCCTCTTTTTCATCTGCAGGACCTTGGCACGTGGCCCTGGGAAGGAAGCTAGATAGAAAATGCCAAAGGGTCTGCAGCATTGCTGCTCCAGCGAGCATCCCAGGCAGGGAAACCCCAAGTGCTCACGAGCTGCCCGCTGCCAAGGATGGTGTGACTGCACTACCAAGCACCCCCAAGATGGGAATCGGCACGGCAGCCAGCGGGAGGTTCAACCCAGCGACTCCACGGGCTCAAATTCTTTACAAACCGCTCCTGCGGACGCTTCCTGCCTTTTGAAATTGCTGCTACTGCAGTCGTGCCTGGCCTGACAAGCAGCTCATTGTACCAGAGCCTCAGAAATCTGATGGCAACAGACAAAGCACAAGACCCCTGGCACGGAGAAGCCGAGACGCTGAGCTTTGGAGACTGCTTGGACAGAGAAGCCGAGACGCTGCGCTTAAGAGGAAAGCTAAAGATGAACCTCTCCAGGAGAAGCTCCTCAGAGCTGCCAATTAACCCGCGTGTCCCAGCTCATCCTAACAGCACATCAGGCGAGCAGCGAGGCTGAACACCCGAGGCTGCGTCCCCACTGCAGCAGTGCCCAGCCAATCCTCGCTCCCAACACTGCGGTGCTCCGGAGCAAGGCAGCGCGCGCAGCCGGGCGGGAGCGCGCCCGAGGCACCCCGCAGAGGAGCGCGCCCTCCGGCTCCCTCGGGCAGGCACGGGGCAGCCGTCCCGAGCGCTGAAGCCATGGCCCCGATGCAATTCGGCACCGCAGGATCGTCCGAGGCGTGTCCGTACCCACTGCTGGGGCCGGGCTGCAGCTCTTTGTTAGGGCAGCAGATGGTTCTGCGGAGAGAAGCCGGATTTTCCCAGCCATGGCTGAATTAACCTCTAACTGCACCCTCTCTCCCTGGTCTATTATAGTCTCATCCGTCACTACAATAGCTCTTTGGTGCTGCATTGTGCTTCTGCCATATGGCTTTCAGCGCAACACAGCGACACGCTTCCACAGCATTCGTGGCTATTCATCTACGCGCTGTCTAATACGCTATGGTTAAACTATTGCCAATGAGTCAAACAGGCTGAAGGAGCCTTTAACCATACAGTCAAGGGTAAGATTAACCAGATCAGGACCACAAGTATGTATCAATATATAAGCACCTAACACACGACATCCTCCAAATTCCTACAAGAAATGCCAAGTTTCCATCTGCTGCCATCGGCCTCCCGAACGGGGCACCGCCAGGCAAGTGAACCCACCGTAGCGGAACCGGGCAGGTACCAGAGCACGCTGGAGACAGTAAGGGCTCATTTCCCTTTCTGAAGTACCAACAACTTACCTTTTAATCCTAGATTCTTGCCTGCCTTTTGCAACTACAGACAGAGGGCACTGCACGCCTCACTTTCCAAAGCATTATGACTTGTCCATAAGAGAACAGTTTGGGGTTTTTTAACACACAGGATAATTTAAGTGCAGACCAAAGCTTCCATCACCCAAGGCTCCCTACCCACAGCAGCACAGCAAGCTCTAGAGCGAGCACAGGACCTCTGTTCTCAGCTGTTAACTTTTGAAAGTGACTGACTGCAAGAAACTTTTGTTTTACATATATTAAATATGAAAATACAATCCAAAACCTGGGAAGACTGCAAGCTTTAAGTAGCCAATTTGCAAATAAATTTGAGATGACAAACACTAAACATCACACTTGGGAACTTGCTGGGATTGAATACCTTTAACCAACCTAAGTAATGGAAAAAGTGAGAGACAAATACAGAGAAGATATCACATTAAAAAAAGAATTCTTCTGCAAATACATTTCAGGATTACTTAAGAAGAAAGAAACACTGTTTAATTATAAGGTCTACATACAGTATACAATGAAGTTTTTTACCTTAAAACTTAACACAGACAAAAAAAATAACAAAACAAAAAAAAATTACAAAACGCAGAGGCAGTAACACCAGGGTGAGGGAGTCAGAAAGCCCTGCTCCTCTCTGGGGAATGGCACATTTCAGTTCTAGCTGGGATGTAGTCAGAAGCCCAGGCTCAGGCAAAAAAAAGAGTGAGGAATTTTTGTCATGCCTCCGTTACCTTCAGCTGCTGCCAGTCATCACAACTACAAGCACAGCAGTTAAACTTTCTAAAACACAGAGAACAGGATCCTTTAAGATGACATTTGAAAGTTTCTAATGCTTTCAAGCCACAGGAGGAACAAAGCAGATTTTCTGAACTGGGCACAGTTCTCCAAAATCAGCTTCTATTAGCCTAAGGCTGTTTCACAAGAAGCTGATCTGACACTGCAGCTAAAAAGAGGTGGTCTCACACATCCACATCAGCTCTGTATTTACCTTGCTCCCACGCTCCTCCAACAACCTCATTAACCCAGCCAGAAGTTACAGAGCTTTCTGCTGCGGTAACCAGTTAAGGCTATTCATGGATGGGGTCCAAAAAAGCATAACTGCCTGTGGAAAGGGCCTCAGAGTGGCAGCAGCAGCCACACTGACCCCACTGCTCACGGAGCTACAAGCCACAATACAGAAGGCAAAACACTCGAGTGGGACTTTAGATTTATCCTCAATGGTCACTTAATGCTGGGCTGCTACTCAGAAGGACCCATTAAACCAGCGGATGTTACCTGACACTACTGCTTACAGTTTATTTGCATAGTATTTATTAGCTTTCATGGTGTGTGCATGGCAGGGACCCAATCTTCCTTTGTTCATGCAGAGATTCCATAGTAAAATAATAATTTGTGCAAGAAATTACATGCCTGGGGTGCAATTAAAGCAGAAACTCAGCAATGCTTCCTTGGCCTTTGTCCTCACTAAAGGAAACCTCAGAGGAATTCTGCCACTGCACTAATCCACACAGCTCCTTCAGAACAAACAGACTTTTCTAATCATATTTAGAAGAGGAAAAAAAAAAAGGCATTTCTTTTACCAAGTGGGGAATTTTATTAGGTCAGAATAATAAACCTAGTAACGGCAAGATGATTATAGCTAGAGGCAAAACAACTGCTCTCCTACAGGGAATTTGTAGGGAAGTCTTACCCTACCAACACCACCACAAGGCCAATCATTCACACATGAGAAAAAAAATGTAATAAATACCACGAGTCCAGCCTGAACAGTGAGTGACACAAAGGAACAGAGGAGGAACAAAAAATAATTTTTTGTAGAAATCATGAACAAAAACCTAGGCCACAGTGAAACAGCTTCCCTGACATAGGTTTCATTAGGAGACAGTCAACCCTCCAATTCCAGCTGTTTCCATGATCCAAGCCCAGGATTTTGAAGGCAGAAAAGCACCAGGACTGATTTTAAAGCTGGTTCTTGGCCAGCACACCAGTCACTGGGGGCCAGGGGCACCTGGGGCAGCTGGCCTCAGGGTCACACACCATCAAAATGGATAGTCATTAGATAGCCAGAGGAGAAGCTGACAATAAAGTCGTGTAATCTATCCAAACAGGGAGAAAGGAAAGAGCGAGAGTGTGACATGTTTTGCTTAATTAAAACAATATTGTCCTCAGCACTGCAAGCTGTCAGAGGGAGGTTCTGTTTTAAGCCAAAAACTCAAGGTATCTTGTATCCTCTTCAGCCACATCACACAGGTCACATCTTAGTACCTGCTAAGTCTGAAGCTTCAGCTTTCAAACAGGTACTTGCCCTTTCCAGCCTGCTAGTACCAGGCAGAAATTCAGACTCAGACCATTTGCTTTAAGATGGCTTCTAAAAGACTTTTGAGTAAGTGCACAGCATTTTCCAACAAGAATCTGAGCCTCGTCACCAGACAACTAGCTAACACATAAAAAATGCGGGAGGGAGGGTGAAAAGAAAGGAGGCAGAAGGAAGGGAGCTGTGCTTGGAGCAATGACCCTTCTCCTCCTCCAGCACAGGAAGAGCTGCCACTGCGGTCGCAGTCTCCAGTTCCTTTCCTTAGGTGACCCCGCAGGAACCAGCGGTGACTCATCTCCTTTGGGAGCTCTCCTGGAAGCACCCCAGGAGCCTCGTGTGCCACCCAGAGATAGCACCCAGCCCCAGCTGGGATGGGCCACCAGGACTCTTTCAATTACTTATCTTTTCAAATGTAATCTCTGAACAACTAAACCTAAGTACTTCCCACTTTGTAGAAAGCCAAAGTTAACCCTGCACAATGCTTCTTGCACCACAACATGAAACCTAAACATCTTGGCCACTGCTGCTTAAATAATTAAACTGTCTAGTGACATTCAACTACGTTAATATATTAAGGTGACACAGCATAGTTCAGTGAGCACTACAAAGAGACCCAGGTCACCTCGTTATAGGAACCCTGGCACAAGTGATTAGCTATTCTAGTTGCTATATCAAGGCAACCAGGGACCAGTGCCAAATTGAGAGAGCTGGCCAGGGAGGGGAAAATACGCAGCCATTGCCTAGAACAGCAAGTTCCACCGAGGTCATATCGTATCACATGAACCGGAGATTGACCAAGAGAAAGGGCATCCTTAGTACTCAAAAATTAGAAAGTCAACTTCTTTCTGCGTTGGAAGTTAATCAGGAAAATAACTAGTGAGAAATGATGGCCCTCCAGCAGCCAGGGCCCAGGCCTGCTCTCACACAGCCCCTGTTCTCCTCAGGCTAAAACAATGTAGATCCACATACCAAACAGCTTTGCCTTTTCAAGCAACTCATGATCTAAAAATTTCTGCTCTTACAGCAGAATTCTCCACTGTAAACCACTTTAACCGCCAGAAGCTCCCCTGCAGCTCGCTACATGTGACTTAGTAAAACTAAGACATCTCCGCTGCCTTTCCACATTGACACTGGTTATCACAGCCACACTTCACCCGAGACAAAGTCTGGGGCATCATTAAAGTGTGCTCATGTTCCACATTCAGAGGGCCAAATATAGCAATAGGACATGAACAAGAACAAAGACTCATTTACCATTTGCTACAAGTAGGTCTGAAAGAAAAAAATCCCTCCCCCGGCTCCACCTCCCAACACAGTATCATATTATAATATATGCAACAGAGAGCACAGAACTGCAGCATTCACTATTTTGTAGGGCTCAGAGATGGTTTTGATGTCATTTTATTAGCACCTGTCAACCATTTAAGGGTTCTGCTCAATATTCAGCCAGATTCATCACTGGTATTGTTTCTTTAAAAAAAAAAAAAAAAAGAGAGATTAAGTATACTGAAGTCCTCAGGTTTTTTTCCTGCCCTTATCTCAGTAATCTGACTAATAATCCAATGCAGATGATAAGGAGACACTTTCCACTGCTGACCAAGGCATGTAGCTCTGGTCACTAAATGCCCCACAGAACACAGTGAAAGACCAAAATGCTGCTGCATATTCTACACAGACAAACAGTTGCTTTAGACCAGCTTTGTTGTTTCATTTCACTCATGCTCAGGGGATCCTACAGGCTTTCACTTCACTACAGGGTTTAGAATACGTCCCATCCCACAGAGAACAGAACAGTGAGTGGCCACGTCTGTGACACGCAGGCTGCCTTTCTGCAAGAGACACTCACACAACATCAACATTTAAAATTTATATGCTCAAGTCAAAGTTGCATCTACGTCTCACAAAACTCTGTGGTGTCCTTCGTTCACTAACACCCTACAAATAGGACAAAGGTCTCTACTAACTAAACCTGAGAACCACCAGGCCTCTCCAATTTGTTGCAAGATAGGGTAAAAAACAATCCTGGAAGAACATTCTGAGATTGCCTCTCAAGAGTTATATACCTGGTCCTGCACATACGTGA